ATTTGTCATACTATGATTGATCAATTTGTTCGTAAGATTGCGTGATTAAGATGAATTTTTTTAAGCTGAATAACGGTAAATTGCAAATATCTCGAAAAGTTATACATAGACAAAAAAAAATTAACTCGACTTTCGGAATCACCAAGCAATTCTACATTAGAATCGGATAGTGGCATCCAAACCAGTGTTACTTGGCAGAGATTCCAGAACTTTTGCCTATCGGAATATGAGGTCTGTAAACAGCTGAAATGCATTTAAACTGCACTGCAACCAGCTAGAAATTTGCAACGGGGGGAAGATTTAACATAAATTCTCGAGATTTCTTTGATGTAGAAGGTATTGTCCCCGTGGCAAGCCTGGACGTCGTTGACTATACCAGTTTCATCTCGGCTCAGGACAGAGCCTTGTTTAACGACGACCACAAGATGGTGCCCCATAGAAGAGAATGGGTATTATCAGTGCTGTATATATTAAGTAGACTGCATGTAGTTTTATTCATCCTTCATTTGCGGGCGCGGTCTTTGAAGTTTCCCTCCCAGTGGAGTTTCCGGTCTAGTTTAACTCCGAGATACTTCAACTCGGTTGAGAGAGTTTTACTCTGTTTAATGTGGATGATTGGAATAGTAGAATAATATATTTCTCAGTGATAAGTACACATTGGGACCCATTCCCTAATTCTGAATGAATAGTTCTCATTTCAAGAAAGAGCTTAACAAAATCTACCAGTCTCCCTTGCACCCCCAACCGAAAGAAAGACCTAAAAACAGATAAAGGGTGGACATTTTTGAAAGCCCCTCAACGATATCTCTTTAATATTTAATGGGCAGTCCTATTTCATGCTTTCAACAAAATCGAGCCAAACTCTCATTAAATACAGAAAATAGATATTGACTCATTGCAATTTCACAGATTGGGAAATTGAGTTCTTGCGATTGTACCTGGAAGCACAAAAATCGAAAATTTTCTGTTAATAAAAACCAACTCGTTAGCATAATGGCAAGTGGATCAGTTCCTACGAAGGTACCTCATTAATGTATTTTTTTTTTGTTTTAGTTTTTATTTTTTCATCTCTTCTAAAACGATTGGTAGGAAGTGGTTAGTTTGATTTACTCGTGTGTTAGTCGTAAATCTTGTGGAGGGGCGAACACCACTTTTATCTCTTAGTTAAATCTGCTAGTGGTTATGAATACCTACCAATAATCAAAACTTCCAATTACATACATATTTACATATAATATAATCAGAGAGGTGTGTAAAAAATAAAGGTGTTTAATAGCTCAGTCATTTTGTAAACATTTATTAATTTTAGGTGCTGCCATATTATGTAAAAACAACAATTGTATATAATTTATAAGGCGTAAGACATAATTACTACACTGAGCAGAAATTAATAGCGTTTAAATTAGCATAATTATACAGACGGTGAGCAGTGATAACCCTGTAAGATACATACTCACACGTACATACATCTAAGCAAACAATTACCACCATACACTGAGGGAAATAATGCATAGTAAAAATGAATACTTTATATTTGATTATCGTTTAAAAATGTTCGAATTTAAAAATAATATTTTCATACAAAATTTATTACGCACGTATTTGACTGTTGACATCTGAGTATGGATATGTAAGTGTACATACGCACCCCAAGCATGCAGAGCGCCGCTCTGAGAGCGGCGACAACACACACATACATATATAGTACATGTTTATCCGTACAAGTCGCGTGCTGTGGTGTTGATGGATATTCAACATTTGAAAGCAAATTTATATGCCTGGGTGTAGCTGAGTGCGCAAAGATGCATGCCACAATTTGTTGATATCCAGAGATGGTCAGGGTTCGAATTCCACTGCATGCAACATGCAAGATAAATATTTTTTTTTTTTTAGTTTTCGTCTGATTATTCACTTCACGGATGCTCTTTTAGAATGAACGCGGTCATTTTAGTATGTGCGTAATTGAATTGAATATTTACCAATATACAGTACTTTTGTTGACGTTTATAGTAAGATCAATTACGTTTCTATTTGATTTTAATATTTTTTTCCCTCAGTGTAATACCACAAATTTCGTGACTTACAATGTACATACATACATATATGAGGGAAAAGTTGGAGCTTCCTCCTGCATTTGTGACAAGCGATGTTCCTACCCACTTAAAATTGGTAGTAGCTTTTAGTTAGTTAGACAATAATAACTAACTATGCATGCGGCTTAGCCCAACCCAATTTTTTTTCTTTTTAACAACTAAGTAGTTATGTTGCCAACTAAAAATCGTGATTCTTGAGGTATTTTTTTCCTTATAAAAGCAGACGCAAATTAATTGTTTTAATTTGATGAACAAGCGGCAAATATTTAATGCAAATTAGGCTATTAATAAAATGTTGGCGAAATCCGCGTCAACGGTGAGTTTCGAAATTGATTATGCTTAATAGTTTAATGGTGGGAAACCATGTGGATTTCGTGAAAGATTAAATCGACATCATATATCTTAGAATTACATATGCGTAGAACGTGTTCGAAGTATACATATGTATGAACTTACTAGGGTGATTGATTTAATTTTTATAAACCGGTTTGAACCCTAGTTTATTCATAGTACACCAGCAACTAAAAGATCTAAATAAATATTTATTTTTGGTGAAAATTGAACTAGATATTTGTCTAAATACCAGGTCTCGAAAGATTTCTTTTGGAGAGATATTTATATAGTATTATATTATTTTAGTTTGCAACTAAGATTTACATTTAATTTCAAGAAATAAGTCTCGAAATTTACCTAGGAGATTTATTCGTAATCGTTTGTATTTTTCAATTTTGTTGTAAATGGCGACAAGTGGGTCAGTTATTCTGTCTGGTTCTTCATGTAATTTGGAACATACTCCATACACCTGGGGGTAATGAATTACCCCGGTAAAGGCTAATACACATATATCCGGGTACCCGGATAGCTTTATTCGAGTACCTAGGTACAGAATTATCTTTAGTGGGTTAGTGGGTTATCTTTAGAAAGGTATTCGGATATGGGGTTATTTTTACCCGAGTAGGCGGTTATCTTTATACCGGTAACCGAGCAGAAGGTTATCTTTACCCGGGTATTTGAATAGCGGGCTTTATTTGTCCGGGTACGCAGGTAGTAGGTTATCTTTATCTGGGTACCCGGATTAAGGTTATATTTATTCGAGTGCCCGGGTAGGCGGTTATCATTATTCGAGTACCCGGGTAGGCTGTTATTTTTATCCGGGTACCCGGATAGATGTCTACAATTATCCGGGACCCGGGTAGATGGTTGTCTCTATCCGATGTACGCAGGGCAGATTTTATCTGTGTACAGGTATTTTTATCCTTGTAGAGGTTAATATATGTATGTATATCTGGGTAGCAGGTTATCTTATTCCCGATAACCGCTTAGAGGGCAATATTTATTTGGGTACCTACATAGGTAGCGGGTTATTATTGTCCAGGTACTAGGACAGGAGGTTTTATTTATACGGGTATCCGGGTAGTGGGATATTTTTATCGGGGTTCCCGGATAGGTGGATGTATCGATTGCACAACCTGCCTCAATAAGAGATTAATGATCAAGTACAAGTTAAGTTGCACTTACATAGGTAATGAACATATACAACCGAAGGAGATTTATTTTTATTTTTCATTTATATTACTTCATGACTGAGAAGAATTTTTTTCGCATCGGTAAAGGTTCCTCTTTGAGAGCAACCAATAAAGCTGGTTCCCGAAAAAAGCGAGTAATCGAGAACCCTAGTACGTACATACATAACTATGTAGGTATAGTTGCTCGCCTGGCACTAGAATAAGTTGCCGTAACCAAATTTGGCAAAATATTAAATTTTTCTTTTGTCCACAGCTTACTTGGGATATTGCGATAATTTGGCATTCGTGCGTCTGTGAAATTTTTGAACTATATGTACATACATATGTATGTATGCACATGTTTAGGTTTTGTTTTTTACTCAAAGAGTTTTTTTTTTAAATTCTTCGCGTCAATTTAATTTATTTGCGTTGAATAACTAATTTGACAATGGCGTCAATATCGATTAAAACAATATTTCAAAAAGTTGCTTAATTTATTTAGTTTTTTGAGTCGCTTGTTAAACAAGCTAAGTTTATGCCAAATCCGCATACGTCATGACGTTTTCGTTGATATTAGGAAACATTGTCTGACTTTGCAAAAACAATAAAGTTTAATAGCTTGTATATTTTTATATAGAAATGCGCTTCGACATACATACATATGTATGTATATGTAAGGCATATATACGCGCAAACAATAGAAAATTTGAATTATCTTGAAAAATGGGCATTAAAATCTATTAAAAAGCTGTCGAAACCTGATTTGTATTCATAGCCAAAAAAAAAAATAAAAAATAAAAAATAAGTAAAACGTGTTCACTATTTTATATTTATGCAAAAATATGCCGATTAAGGTATGGCCGAAATACTGGTTGGAAGAAACAGCTGCTTTTTGTTTTTTATTTTTCTGTCTTGCCCATTGGATTTTACAGCTCTAATCTATTGCAGTTTTCAACTTTCTGCGAAGCATGCTTGCAATTTATACCGTTATACGAGCTATTTTATGCGCCTAAGTTTAAAAATGCACAAAAATAAAATTTCAAATATTTGGTCGTACGTTTGGTTTCAGTAATAAATTGAGTGCCATTTAAAATAAAAAAGAGATAGATATAGACATATACATGTATATATATATGCACATATATACGATATTGGAGGATCGTTTTATTATTTGACGATTCCCACCATCGATTATTTTTATTTCGATTTGAATCGATTCAAAAATCTACTTTTTTTTATTTCGATCTTTTTTTATTTTCGATCTTTATACTTACTTATATAATCTCATTCACAAATATTTTGCGTTAAATATTTAATTTTAATGTTAGCTTATTAAAAAAAATTACTTAATAAGATAATCTCAAATTTTCCATCACTTAAAATTTTCTTTATTTTTTTACAGTTGCTCGTTTTTGCATTCTGCATTGTCGTTCCACTTTACGTCCAGGCGCAAGAAGGCGTAAACAATTACTTGGATGTGGAGACACCAAAGGTTTTTTATTTTGCTTCACCACTCCGACAGCCGGAAAGTCTGCGCTCGCCACAATACTTTGACTTCTTGAGTACACTGTATCGTCGTGATGCTACCAAAGCTGATCTCTTCCGACCGTATGTGAGACCACGACGTGCTATTGCCAATGATGCACCCCTCTCAGTGCCATTAGATGTTTCGTTGTCGCCTGTCACTGCTGTGGCTGCATCTGGCGCCGCACCACTAGTAGGACGTCCACGTCGTGCCATCCTCTTCCGACCGCTGTTCGTCTACAAGCAGCAACAGATTCGTAGAGAGCAGTCAAATCATCGTCGTCGCGTATAAGGCGATCTGTCAACGGCGTTGGTTAGTATTTTCGGTAATCTAAAAATTAAACTGGGATCCGCTAGGTGTAATTTATATTTTTGACTACGTTCTGTGTTTATGTAATTGTACTTTTTTTATTGATAGTGTCTGCGTATTCTTGCACACTCTTTGCTAAATTCACTTATAATATAAATTCTAAGTTTTTATATGTATTTAGATCTTCATATAATACATAATCGCTTTCTGTATTCATCTTTGTGTTGCTCATTTTCTCGTCATTTAAAGAAAAATCAAAATGAAATACATACATATGTATCACATAAGCTCGAATTTGGTAATAGAAAATTTAAATATGTAAATTAAGTTTCTTGAACAAAGTTGAACATATGTACCATAGGTATAATTGAGTGTACATATATATAAAATTTATTTAGGCGTAGTCCCTTATAATTTAAGTATGCGTATAAGTTTTGGAAATTTATTTAAGATGAGTAGAATTCTCCTAGGTTTAACAGAGTTTAAACGCTGTGAACTGTTAAAATATGTGAAATTATTATGTTAAATTTTTATTACTATATAATCTCATTGCACGCCATTATAACCAAATTATAAAATTTAACATATTTATGTATGTAAATAAATAATCAAATAAATATAGATTTCGCGTATTGTTTTTGGTTTGTTAAATTTAGACTTTTTACGCTCTTGGCTTTTTTTCTACGCTCCTTTTCATCCGTACCAAAGCCACTGGAGCTCTTTTCCACTCAAGGTATGTGGCAGTCTGAGATATGGAGCCGCTTCTGCAACAAAAAACTTTATATCGGTAAGTTCATGCTTTTTGAAGCAGGCAAGCTAAGCTTTTCTTTGCTGTTAATGCCTATGAAGAATGAATCATATTAGCCTCGGCAAAGCCACGCGTCCAAAACTAAGGCTGCCTCTTTTGCGGAAAAGAAATGATTATAGAACTTGAAACAGCATTTCAATCGTTATATAGTTAGCCAAAATAGCAGGCTGTTGACTACAAATACCGGAAGATTCTAGACCTAACCTTAGCGCCTTTAAGGCCCGGACCCAGACGGCATAATACCAGTCCAACTGAAATAAGTTTAGGAGGTGTTGTGCTGCTATTTTCGAGGGCTTATTGGCTAGGGGTCATATACCGGGGCCTGCGGGGGAGGATGGTCAGAGTGGTGTTCCTTCCCAAGGCGGGTAAAGCTTCTCATGTGTCACTCTGGGACTTCAGGCCATTAAGTCTCTCCTCGTTTCTTTTGAAGACGCTGGAGTGGCTCATCGATCTGCACTTAGGAAGCGGGATCCTCAGGGAGCGCCTTTCCTTGGATCACCATGCCTATGCAAGGCCAGGTCTGTTGAAATGACCTTACACACGGTCATTGAGAATATTGAGCAGATCTTCTCACAGAAGGAATTCGCGGTCGGTGCTTGCCTTGGTATTGAGGGGGATTTTAATAATGTTTTGGCCTGAGGCTGTAGTTAACTCCCTAAACAAGCAGCTTTGCAATAGAACTGCTGCGGCAGACAAGGGCAGCGTAAAATTTCCTGGTAGCCTAACGTAGAGAAAAGAGTCAAGAAAGCCACAGTAGCCTTGTATAGTTATAGAGGGGCCATTGGCAAACGCTGGGTCTTTCGTCGAAATTAGTTCAATGGCTTTATGAAACTGTAATCAAGCCAATTTTATTATATAGGGTACTCGTCTGGCGGAACGCACTTGAGAAGGCCCTCATAGTCAAGGGGCTGGAGAGGGTGCAAAGAACCGCCTTAATTGGCATCAGTGGGGCACTTCGAACCACACCTACTCTTGCGCTTAATGCCATGTTAAATATTGTGCCCATAGATAAAGTTGGCAGGGGGTCGCTGCACGCGCCTCAGTAAGACTAACTGGGATGGGATTTAAGTTCGCTTCGCTTTAAGGCTTCGCTTTAAGGCTTCGGGTTCTAACCGACTCGGACAGACCACTGCACGCGGATTCTGCATTCGAATGTATCTTTTACCACCACATACCAGCGAGAGAGGACTGGGAGGGATGCAGTAACTGGAATCGGCGATCTGTAAACTTGTTCACAGAGGGATATAAGCTGAATAAGAAGATGGGTGGGGGAGTCTTCTGCGAAGAACTCTCCATCAACCATCAACCTGAAATTTAGGCTACCGATTCACTGCAGCGTCTTCTAGACTGAGGTGGCCGCGATAAGGAGGAGAACATTTATTATGACAGCTATGCAGCTATCAAGGCTCTGGGATCCTTGACGGTGCGTTTGAGAACGTTGAAGGAGTATTTGACTTCCTTGTCGCCGGCATGTGATTATTTCGCTATTACGCTTATTCGGGTTCCAGATCATAGCGAAATCGCTGGTAACTGCTTAACCGATGAGCAGGCAACTCAGGGAACCCTCGACCTTGTGTCGTCGGCTTCTGGACAGATGGGCGTGGAATGCAGGGTGGCGAAATCCTTCTGGCCACGGGTAGACCGGAGGCGGGCTGGGGAGCTCTTGAGACTATGCAAGTTGCATCTCTCACTATTGGTGTCTAGATTTCTATTGTAATGTATTTGCTGCCTAAACCCCATGATTCTGCACTTTTTTTTCTAAAATTCACTGTGTTCTACTTGTGAAGATCTATCATTTGATACGCATATTGAGGGGATTGAAAGAAATATGCTATCCGCCATTTTGTGGGGGCCACCATCTTGGATCCGGAATTTTTTCATAGTGTATTGTGATCCACTAGTCAACGCCTTTCATTTGATGCTAACACTGAGAGGGTTGTGAAAAAAATATGTAATCCAAATAAGGGTCAAAGCGACCCACAGTGCTGAGAAATAATGAGCTAAAATGTTCCACAAAAATTAATGCCACAAAAGTAGTTTTACTTCAAACCTATCTAACTCATATAATACCTAATCTGTACCTATGCATGAATCTAGAAATTTCCTGGTACCAAGATACTCAAATAAGTTTGGCATAATTCTATAGCATTATTTGTGCGGCTGTTGTTGAAGTCCAACAATAAACTAAGCAAGTAAGCTTTTATTGAGCCAAGTAAATCGCGTTGTTCATTAAGTTTTACATTAATTTGATTATGACATGAAAATTATCGATACTTCTGTGGTATTTGTATATCCTTACCCAGGTGAACTATTTGTACTTGCAATTAAGATTTTCTTACCAGAGAATGCATATCAATATACTTATTTGCTAGTTGCATAATATTTAAAAATTTACCTAGAACTAATAATTAAGAGCGCTCCGCTTCGCAACCACAACATTTGCAACAGCTGTGCTCACAAAGTCACGTGCCGAGATGAAAGTCAAAAGTGCATGTAACACGTTCCGCTGTTAATGCTAATGAAGTTGTCACATGTAAGAAGAAATAATGTAAGCAAATAAAGATGGTAAAAAAGTATGACAAAGCAGCGGCGCAAACCATCTGCATGGAAAGGAAGTTGAAAAATGTTAAGAGATAGCAAATGATGTTACTGACAACCCGAAAATATGTAGTTAACAGCTAACTATGCCAAGTACAAATGAGCTGCTGCTCTCAGATATTTACACTTACAAAAATGCGGATATGCATATTTGAAGATATGAAACTACACTCACATACATACATACTTACGTACATACATGCCATGTGGGTAAAATTTCTAGTTCTGAACTGGTGCGCTACTACTACATTTAGACCCAGTACTGGTTCCCGATAAATCTCTTTTGCATGCAAACAACTGGCGAATTTAACATGGCGATGTCCTAAGAAGTGTCAATTGCCCGCTACATCCCTTTTTCGATAGTTCCGAACTAGTTCTAAATTCGATATTTCCGAACCAGTTCTAAAATAGACAGACGAACGAAAGAAGTGTCATAATTTTTCGATCTTTTCGGTTNAAGAAGTGTCAATTGCCCGCTACATCCCTTTTTCGATAGTTCCGAACTAGTTCTAAATTCGATATTTCCGAACCAGTTCTAAAATAGACAGACGAACGAAAGAAGTGTCATAATTTTTCGATCTTTTCGGTTCTTCTGTGTGGGATTTTAAATTATTTTCAAAGAAATGCTTTTTTCAATTTGAAATTAAGTTTGTTGGAATGATTGTAAGAAATGTACGTTTACATACCTTTGGCTGTAGCTGACTTTGCAGAGATGCTCGCTGTTTTTGGTTAGATTCCGGACGGTCCCAAGGTGTTAATATGTTAACACAAATTTTTGTTTTGTATTACCAAACTATGAAAAAGTATCTGCGAAGTGCAGAATGACGGTGCATTTGAACGAAAAAGCCGCCAAACACATATCTATGTAAAGTAAACCTAGCGCCTGCTGCATCCCTTTTTCTTTAATTCCGAACCAGTTCTAAATTCATCGCCTTAAATATTGATTTCTAATGGAAAAAGCGAAATAAAATAGTTTTTTTTTTAAAAGTACCACATTTCACTGATTTTGGACTGGTGGGGATCTACATGGTATCTATCGGACTGGTTCGTTTTTGGCGCTAAAGATCTTGTACGCTTGTCTATTAGAAAATGTCGCATATGGAGGCAGGAAGAAAGGGAAAATCGTTGCTAATAAATGCTTCGGTGATACTTGCGTGTAAAATGTAAAACTTAGTAAAGTAGTGTAAATATACATGTACGAGTTTGTGGCTTGTTTTCAGTTATGCATAGTAATTTTGTCATTAGCTGAAGTCACTTATAAAAACGTGAAGAAGACGATAAGGTAGTGGAACAAGTCACATTCATATTTGTGTGTATGTATGCAGGCAGCTATACGCAAATAGATGGTAAAACAAGTAACAAAAGTCTAAGTTCGGGTGGAGCCGAACATTAAATACCCGGCGCAAGTATTAAATATATGTTTTTTCACCTTTCCGAAACCTACCGATAGATGGTAAGCCGGGGTGTATCAATTTTGAGTAAATTAGTGTCCTTAAATTTCGAAATATTTAAGTTTCAAGCATTACTGAAATTTACCGTTAAATGAAAAGCGGCTGTAATTTAAGTCCGATCTCAATTATTTTCAAAGTTTTTTGTCTATGTGGCAAGCACAATAACCATACCGAGTTTGGTACAAATTGGTAGAACGGTTACAGAGATACATATATGGGATCATAAGTGGGCGGTGTCACGCCCATTTTCCAAAATTTTAAATAAATTAGCCANAAGTGGGCGGTGCCACGCCCATTTTCCAAAATTTTATCATAAACGTATTTCTTGGTAAAGAATTGTTGCAAGCATCCATTTGGAATAAATTAGCCATTTCGGCCATTTGATATGCTGCACCAAGGCCAACAACTGTGCCAAGTTTGGAAGAAATTGGTGCAGCGGTTATCAACATATACACATGTAACCATAAGTAGGCGTGGCTATGCCCATTTTCCAAAAATTTATAATATTCTTATTTTTCGTCTGAAAATTATTGTAAATATAAATTTTGAGTGAATTATATTCAGTAGTTACTAAAATATCGCAGTTTTCGGATTTCTGGAAATTACCGTTATATGGGAAGTGGACGTGGTTACAGTCCGATTTCGCTCATTTTCAATACCAACCTACTTTGGATTAACAGAAGCCTACATACCAAATTTTGTTGAGATATCTCAATTTTTGCTCGAATTATCGTGTACACGGACGGACGGACTGACGAACAGAC